GAAGGAGTCTATGTGCAAATTTTGAATGATGAACAAAACACCAAAAGAAGATGGAAGGTCACTGTACTAAAAAGAAATGGTCAGTGTTCAACCATTTCAAGAGATCAAGAACTGATGGTACTGAGAAGTCAAAGCTGCATTGAAGGCATTAGTCAAAAACAAAGTTCTGCGAATTTACAGAACACAAATTGAAATCTTTCAAGAAACTGATGAAGCATTGGAGGCTTTAACTCATCTATGCAAGAAATTTGGAAGACAATTCTCTAGCCAGCCGATTGGAAGAGATCCATATTTGTGCCCATTCCAAAAAGTGGGGACCCAACAGAGTGCAGAAGTCACTGGACAGTATTAATATCACATGGAAGTAAAATTTTGTGGACGATAATACATTGACAAAGAATTGCCAGAAATTCAAGCCAGATTTAGAAAAGGATTTGTAACTGGTGGTTTCATTGCTGATGTCAGATGGATCTTTGCTAAAGACAGAGAATACCAGAAAGATGTTACTTGTGCTTTATTGACTATGCTAAGGGTTTGATTGTGTATCATGACAACTATGGATGATACTGTGAAGAATGGGTGTTCCAGAACACTTAATTGCAGTCATGAAGAACTTGTATATAGACCAAGAGACAGTTGTTCAAACAGAACAAAGGGAAACGGAATGGTTTAAAATCAGGAAAGTTGTGCATCAGGGTTGTGTCCTTTCACCATACTTATTCAATCTGTATGCTGAACAAATAATCTGAGAAACTAGATTATATGAAGAAGAATGTGGCATAAAATTGGAGGAAGAGTCATTAACTTGCGATAAGCAGATGATACAACTTTGCTTGCTGGAAGTGAAGAGGATTTAAAATACTCAAAGACCTCAGCCTTTGTATTACACCTCAGTGTTTAGAAAACAATTCTCACAATTGGACTAATAAATAACATTATAAATGGAGAGAAGATTGAAGTTGTCAAAGACTTCATTTTGCTTTATTTGTAAACAACGTATTTCAATAGGCGAATGTGTTGCAAAGGACCTCTTTAAAGTATTCAAAGCAGATATATCAGTTGGAGCACTAAGGTGTACCTGACCGAATCCATGTTATTTTCACTTGACTCATATACTTGTGAAAGTTGAACAGGAATAAGAGAGAATGTAAGAATCAATGTATTTGAGTTATGGTGTTGGGAGAAGAATATTGAAAGTACCATGGACTTTCAGAAGAACAGATGTGTGTAGGAAAAATTTATGTCATTCAATTTTCTTCTTGCATGAATAGTTTCTGTTGACTAATTTAGTGTAATTAGTCTCCTTTGTGTTAAGTAACTTAGTTTTTCCTGAGCTACTCTCAGGAGTTTTTCCTTGCCTGGTTTTGAAAAGTTTGATTATATTACATGTTCGTGTTTTTCTTTCGGGGTGTATACTATTTATAATTCATTCAATTTCTTGAATGGCTATCTTCTCATCTTTTATATTAGGGAAGTTTTCTTTCTGTTTGTCTTTTCCTGTTCTGGAATTCCTATGACACGTAAGTTATTCCTCTTGATAGTGTCCCTCGTGAATCATAAGGTTTTATTCAGATTATTTTGTTCTTTTTTCTGATTGTTTCTCTGCAGGAACAGTCTCTCAAAACAAATATTTCTCAATTAACACTGATAGCTATTTCTTCCAGTTCAGTAGTTTAGCTTTCCATTGGTTTAATTTTGGTGCTTTGCCTTTCCAGTTTATTATCTGTTTCTGAAGTTTTCTGGGCTTTCTAATTCCTGATTTTGTATGGTTCCCCTTTTTACAATTGTTTTGCCAGTCTGTTTTCCTTGATGTCATTTTAGTTTTCTTTCAGTCCATTGAGGTTGCCTAATTAGCATTCTCTTTAAATTTCTTATCAGGTAACTTTGATACCATTTCTGGTGTTATATTTTTTTAATGTGCTTTGGTTACGTGTTTGAGGCACTGTGTCTTGATTCTGTGTGTTAGCTGAAATTGTCTCTTTTGTTTGAGACATGGTGTTTTATTTTTATTTCATTGAAGATTGTTTATTTAGTGTATTCTCTAGCACTCAACACCTGTCTCCTGGTTGATGTGGTAGAGACCGAAGTGTGAACACAGTTCTCCGTTCCCTATGCAGTATAGTTCAGTGTGGGTTCACATGTAAGCAAGATCACTATGCCAGGTGCCCAGGTACCCCAGGCAGAGCAGAGGCTTCACGACAGGGGTGCCACTGGCTGCTGGGTTGGCAAGGGTGAGTATTGGCCACACCTACATCTACCAGGAGGAAATGGGAACTAGGGAGATGTGGATCCTTTTTCTCTAGTCTCCGGCCATGTCCTGTGCTCACTTTATCAACAGCTACTCCACAGCAGCCCACAACCCACCCATTTTATTCTTTTATTGCTCCTGTTCAGCTTTCTCTTCCAGTCAGCACTCAATCCACCTCTCTATTCTATCCACTGATGCTCAGGATTTTAGGATCACTATGTATATATCTGGCTTATTTGGTCTCCCATGTCTTTGTTGCAGAGGAGTCAGCTCAGTGTGTTTGCGTATTCTGCCATCTTGACCCAGATTCTCTTCCTTAAAACTTAAATGTCCCTTGATTTCTACTGATTATAGAAATATTTTCCATGCACTGATACTATTTTTACTTGTTTTGTTTTTTTTTTTTCTCCAACGTTAAAAATAAAACTCAAGCTATCCTGGACTCATTGGTATGATTATCAGTCAGTAACTAGATTGCTAAAGATTTCTCATCAGTTAATTTTTGGGGGTCTACCTGGCCCTCGTGGCACCATAGGATAAGAATTAGACTGCTCATCACAAGGTCAGCAGTTTAAGCCCAACAGCCACGTCATGGGATAAAGATGAGGCTGTCTGCTCTAGTCTTGGAAACCCTATATAGAGTCACTGTGAGACAGAATTGACTCAGTGTTGGCAGATTTGGTTTTTTGTTTATTTGCCTGTCCCCCAGCCAAATTGCTGAACCAGATGAAGTTTGACTTTGGTGCTTTCTCATTGCAATTTTTCTTTCCTCTTGAGGCCTATTAGACTTTATTTCTATTTTACTTTATTTGTCCTTTTAATCTGAGGTTTGAACCAAGATATTAGTTAGTACCTAGGTGTAGTTGATAACTTGAGGAGTCTACTTTAGGATCATGCTTTTAAAAATGGTTCTTTAGCTTAAAACCCTTTTTGTTGAAAAGTAAGCAATAGAGTTTTTTTTTTAAGGGTAGCCTTAGATCAGTGTTGTTGTATACAGAATGGAGCGTCCATTATACCATATCCTATTCATTTAACTCTTCTCCTGCTCTTAGAGCCATTTTCCTATGCCTATTTAGACATATTATAATGAGTTGCCCATACTGCCTCCTAATATATTTAGAGGAATTTTCTGACTCCAGAATAACAAAGCATAGACATATTCTTGGAAATGTTTTAATTCTTTAATATGTTACTGAAATACACCTATTATTCATAAAAGGATGGTGAGTGTTGTACAATTTGAAGACTGTTACTGAATTGAACATATAAAAATAAGTAT